TGAGTTGTAAGAGTTAATATAGTCTGTGTTTTCAGATATGACTAGCAAATATTTTCCCCCAGTTTACAGCTTGTCTTTTTCCTTTCTTCTTTTAGAATTTACAGGTTTTAAGTCCAGTTTGTCTGCTTTTTTTATTCCTTATGCTTTGGTGTCATATCTATCATTGCTTGATCCAGGATCACAAAAATTGACTCCCTTGTTTTGTCATTTGAGTCTGGTATTTTTTGGGGGGGGCATGGCATACATCTGGAATTTTACTTTGTTAGGTCCTACATAATTTTGGATTTCTGAAAATGTTATTGAACTTTGTTTTGACTTGTGACAAACATTTTTACAGTTTGATCCTTTTTTTGTTCGGCAGGACCAGAGGAACATTTAGCGTATGGCTAACTTTCCCCATTACTCAGGCAAGGCCCTTTTTGGTTCTCCTGCAAATGGCCATGGATTGTGGTTTTCCACTCTGGCTGTCGAGAACAGGCACTACTCCTGGCAATTTGTGAGTTCAGGGCACTGATTCCTTTTCCTTTTGAGTTGGGGTCTCACTCTGTCACATTATCACAGCTCACTGCAGCCTTGCCCTCTGGGTACAGCTGATCCTTCTCTCTCAGTCTCCTCAGTAGTTCTGACTACAAGTGCACCCCTACGCCTAATTTTTAATTTTTTTTTTTTTTTTTGGCAGAGATGAGGTCTTGCTATATTGCCTAGGTTGGTCGTGAACTCCTGGCTCAAGCAATCCTCCCCACTTCGGCCTCCCAAAGTGCTGGGATTGCAGGCATGAATCTCTGTGCCTGGCCTTTTCTTTTGAATCTTCCTTTGGCTACAGGTAGTTTCCTTGCAAGCATGTGTTACTCAGTGTGCCGGAACACCGAGGTGGGGGTTGGGCCTCTGCAGCTCTTCAGAGCTCTTTGTGCAGTGCTCTCCTCCCCAGTTCTCTGCTCTGTAAACTCCAGCCACCTTGACTCCATGACTCCCAGTTTCATCTCAACTCAGGTAGATGGGCTCTACCTGGATGTCCCCTTCGCGACTGGAATCTGTCACCGGTGAGCTGGGTAATCACAGAGCTTATCTGTTTCCCATTTCTCACATGTCATTTTCTCTTGTTGCTTCAAGTCCACTTTCTTGGCAGCTACTGTCTTTTGTATTTTGGCTTTAGTTGTTTCAGGTGAGAAGTTCAAGCTAGTCCCTGTTATTCCATCTTACCTGGAAGCACAAGTCCTTTCTTTGTTTGAACTTTTTACATTTTATGCATCCCCATCATCACACTTGTTTTGATGATAAATGTCTTTTTAGGTCAGGCCACTTGTTTAAGCTTTCTTTTTTAATTGACGTTTTTAAATTTTTTTTTTGAGTTGGAGTCTCACTCTGTTGCTCAGACTGGAGTGCAGTGGCACGCTCCCAGCCACCGCAGCCTCAACCTGCTGGGCTCCGGCAATCCTTCAGGCTCAGCCTTCCAAGCAGCTGGAACTACAGGCATGTGCTACCACGCCCGGCTAATTTTTTTTATTTATTGTAGAGATGAGGTCTCACCAAGTTGCCCAGGCGGGTTGCGAACCCGTGGGCTCAGGCAATCCACTCACCTCGGCTTCCCAAAGCACGGGATTACAGGCTGAGCCACCGAGCCTGGCTGACGCTATTTTTTTTAGCTTTGATTTTGTTCCTTCTAGATTCCTTAGGCTTTTTATTCTTGACTAATATGTGTATTACTGCAATAATTTTTATAGCTTTCCTTATATTAGTACAGATATAGATCTTTAAACGACCCTTTAGTGTTACTCTCTTTAGATGTAAACAACAGGTGTCATTGTAATATTTAATGTAGTCCATATATGTCATTGACTTTACAAGTATTAGTCTGTCCTGTGAGTGTGCTTTAAAAATCTCTGTGGTGATTTCTACAAATTTCTTGACCAGACTTTCAGATCTTTTAGTTTTGAAAATGTTTTGTTGAATCAAGTCAGTGTCAACATATAACTAGTGTTAAACCAGTTGCTTTAAGATGTGTTCTTGTCTCAAAATCTGACAGGCAATTTTGAAACCATTCTTCTTAGCCTCTTTTAAGAAGCTCTTTGTACTCTATGATGTTTTACCTTTATATATCTTAAAAGTTTACCAGTATTAAAATCCCCATAGACCACTTTTATAAAATTACTGTTTTGTTCCTCTTACAAATGTACTCACTGTAAATAACTGAGAAAATAGAAAGCTACACAGAACCATATAAATCTAAATTTTTTCTATTAGCATTATATTTGTTTTTTTCTATTCATGTATATATTCACAAGACTCAGAGAGGTGATGTTAAAAATGTTTAAAAAACAACATGTTATAGGAACCAGTCAATGAGACAAATAGTAACTGTAGTGCTGGAGCAATGTTCTAAACTTCTGTTCACAAGACTCTTTTAACTGGATTGGGAAAGGTGGATTGCAGTCCTTAGAGTAGGGCCCAGGGCAGTGGGGGACAGGAAGGATACTTGGGGGAGTCCAGGCAAGGAGAGGGTGAAAGTATCCTGGTAATGTAACAAGTGTAAGACTGTATAGGTGCCATACAGGGTGAAAAGCAGCTTAGATCACTTTTATATATATACACATACATATGTATTTTTTTCACTTCAAACATTTTATTGGAAATTTTTTCTTGTGGTGTTCTGCAAAGATCAATTAAATGGTTGCATGTTTTTCATTATGACTATATAATGGTATATTCAATCTGTTATACATTTAGGTTATTTTGAACTTTTCAGATTTATAAATAATGTAATAAACATTGTACATGTCTATTTTATATCACTTACTTTGGGCCTATATTGTAGAAATGAAGGCACTTAATATTACCTAGTTGCTTTTCAGTATGATTGAACAAATGTTTAAGGATGTCAACAATGCACGACGGTGCAAAGTACCTAGAAATCATTTGACGTTTGTCCCTTTTTTCATTGAGTTTAGGTGTTTTTATTATCATTTTGTGTAAATTCTCAAGGATCTCAACACTTTTATTATTTACTGTGACATTTTCTATTATATTCCTTTTCATTTTCATAGTTGTAAAATGCTATGTGGTCATAACAAAGAAAGTACATAATGTTAGAGAGTAAACTCTAAGAGCAGAAAAATTTTACTTGTTTTTCAGATACATATACATGAGATGTAAAAATGTTTTGACATAAGGAGGATTGTACAGTTGAAATGTACCATGATACTGGTATAAGTCACTGATCCAGAACACAGAACTATCCAACTTAGAGAAAATATAAAAACATTTCATAAAAAGATAACTTTGGCATACCAGTGGAGGAGCTAAAACAAATATGGCTTAAAATAAAGCCATATCCTGGACATTAGGATGACTCCAAATACAGAAGCTAGACATCTTAGTCACTTAAGTCCTTTAGGGAAGGTAAGATCAATTACAAACGCTAATAGAACACTGGACTTAAACAACAGGTTGGGCCTATGCAGTGGCACACCTCTTTCTCTGGGCATGTCTCCTCATTGGTTAAAAAAGAAGCTGGATAATGGTCTCTATGGTTCATTATTTTAGTGGCTTTAAAAAATGCAACATTTAGCTGCATCCTTTATGATTTGAAAAGGAGTTATCTTTTTAAGAAATAGGTTGTTGTAATTTAACACCAGATTCAGCAATAGAACCAGAAGTTGTCATGCACAGTATTCTCATGGGCATTTAATTCTTTTTCTAGATTAGGTGCCATTAGAAAGCAGGAAAAATATTTGTCTTTCCTCCAATTCCATGTCTTCACATTTTAATTTGTGGAAATTTTATATGTCCATTTATGAGAATATCATCCTATACATAAGGTTTCTCCATTTTAAGAATTTAAGTGGGCCGGGTAAGGTGGCTCAAGCATGTAATCCCAGCACTTTGGGAGGCAGAGGTGAAAGGATTGCCTGAGCCCGCAGGTTCGAGACCGGCCTGGGCAACATGGTGAGGCCTCGTCTCTACCATAAACCCCCCCCCCAAAAAAGAATTTAAGTGGACTGGGTTTACTATTTGTTGATACAGCATGCTTAAAAATCAGAAAAATGAATTCTGTTGACTTTTAGTTCTTGACACTCAATGTAGCTTATTCCATAGTTTGGCTAAATTTGACTTAGCCTGCATGTGTTCCCCAAGTATCTATCACAGCCCTGTGCAGTAGGGATCAATAAAATGCTTATAGAAGGAAAACATTAGGAAAAAAAATCAACTTGTCTTTTTACTAAATTGGCCAACCCACTGAGCATTTACTATTTACAGAGTACACAGGGTTTGCAAACCTCTCTTTTGGATGTTTTACAAACCTGGCTGATGAACAGAATCAGTTGCATACCTTAAAAAAACAAAACAAGGCTGAGCATGGTGGCTCAGGCCTGTAATCCCAGCACTTTGAAAGGCTGAAGCAGGGCTGCCTGAGCCCAGGAGTTCGAGAGACCAGCCTGGGCAACACAGCGAGATTGCATCTCTACAAAAAATAAAATTATCCAGGTACGGTGGCATGCACCTGTATTGCCAGCTACTCAGGAGGCTGAGAAGGGAGGATTGCTTGATACCAGTAATCTGAGGCTGTGGTGAGCCATGATCATGCCACTGCACTCTAGTCTGGGTGAGAGTGAGACCCCAAGTCAAAATTAAAAAAAAAAACAAAAATCAAATTATTTGGTCCTGCCTTCTTATGGGATTTAGTAAGTCTGGAATGAACTACAGAAAGCTGTATTCTTTCCAACAGCTTTCAATGTGACTGTAATGATCAGCCAGGTTTGAGAATGATTCATCTATACTCTCAACTGATAGTCTAGCATTATATAAAGTTGAAGGATGGTAGTTAAATTGCTCAGAATATCCCAAGTCTAAGGGACATTTAAATTTGTCTTTGAGTGATTTCCCTATTCTTTGCAATTCCAATGAAAAATGTCAGTAAATGCTACAAAATGGATTTTTTATTGAAAGCACAAATTGGCTTCCTTTGCCTTATTTCCTATAAACATGTTTTGTTTGTCCCACAGAAGAAGATGATGATCTTTTTGATGACCCTCTGCCAGTACCTTTAAGGCACAAGATTCCATACCAGCCATCTTTTCACCCTGAGGTATTTTCAGTGACTGCAGCATCCGAAAACCAGTCTGAAAAACTGAGACAAAACACAGGATTCTGCAAAGCAGAGAATACACAAAGCTCTCTTTTGGCAAACTTTGTAGATTGTGAAGAATCCAACAGTGAAAGTGAAGAATTAGACATCCCAACGTCATTGCAAGGAGATCTGTACTCTGTAACACTTGATCAGCAAAAAGCTGCTGGGGATGTACCACAGTGGGAAGTATTCTTTAAAAGAAATGATGAAATCACAGATGAGAGTTTAGAAAACTTCCCTTCCTCTACAGAGGCAGGGGGATCCCAATCACCAAAGCTTTTCAGTGACTCTGATGGAGACTCAACCCACATCTCCTCCCAGAATTCTTCTCAGTCAACACACATAACAGAACAAGGAAGTCAAGGTTGGGACAGCCAATCTGATACTGTTTTGTTATCTTCCCAAGAGAGAAACAGTGGGGATATTACCTCGGTGGACAAAGGTGGCAGTAGATCAAGAATCAAAGAGAATATTCCTGCCTCTCATATGGAAGAAAATGTACTTTGCCCAAAGGATACTTACTCTGACTTAAAAAGTAGAAATCCAGATGTAACTACAGTTCCTAATGTTGGAGAGCCAACTATTATAAGTGGTAGGAAACACATACCTGAGGAAAATAGTTTGCTAACTCTTAGCACAAATGCAAATTCACAGAGCTCCTCTGATTTTGAAATTCCCTCAACTCCAGAAGCTGAGCTACCTAAAAGAGAGCATTTACAACATTTATATGAGAAGCTGGCAACAGGTGAGAGTATAGTAGTTGAAAAAAGAAATGCTCACTCTTAGATATTTATGAATTAAGAACACTTAATCCTAGAATAACCACCAGAACATCTATACAAAGAGGTAATAATCAATGTCACAATAGATAATTTACAGTGGAATACTTCAAAATGTTTAGATAGCCTAATAGGTGGTAAAGAGGAAACAGAGGCACAAAAAACCAAGGAAAAAACAGAAAGCATATAAGATAGTAGACGTAAACCCAAACACGTTGATAATTAACATGAACTGTAAATGGTCTAACCACATCAATGAAAAGACAGACTCAGGAAAAAAAAATAGCCCAACTATATGTTATCTACAGGAATCGCAATTCAAATGGTATAGGTAGGTTAAAAGAATGGTAAAAAGACCGTAAACAAACAAAAGAAAGCTAAAGTGGCCATCAATATCAGACAATTTCCTAATGATGAAAGATCCAGTTCACTGAGAAGACATAAGAATCCTAAATTCATATGCACCCAGAAACAGCTTCAAAATACATGAAGCAAAAACAACTGAAAGGAGAAAGAGACAAACTAATGCACAATTACAATTAATTAGGGATTTTTAACACCCTTCTCTTAGTAATGAAACTAGTATATATACAGAAAATCAGCAAGAATATAGACCTGAACATCACTGTCAGCCAACTGGATCGAATTGATATTTACTGAACACTCTCCAAAACAGAATATATCTCCTCTTCAAGTGCAGATGGAGCATTCACCAAAACAGACTATATTTGGGGTCATAAAAACACTTCATTTAAACTGAAAGAATAAACTTGGATTTATTACAGTAAACTGATGGCTATAGAAAAAGCACCTCATTTATCTCAAAAGATGTTCTATCACTTAAGAACCTTGGTCAGAATACAGTGGTAAAATTAAAACTAGACAATTAGGATGTAAAAGAAAATGCTTAGGAATTAATTGTGTTCTGTGAGTCATTCAACATCCTTAAAGTCTAATAGGTTATATTTATGTATTGTGATGTATGAGGATTTATTAAAGTTTTAACAAAGATTCATAAATACTTTGGTATGCTGACATTTCATAGATTAAGAAAGGAAAAGCAGAGACATTATTTAAAACAAGTTAAAGTACAGTCTCTAAAATACAATTTACAGATCAAGTTAACACTTAATGATACGCATTGTCACCACGCTGCATGATAACTAGAGCAAAAAGAAGTACTAGGTCCAGCAGACTAGGGTAAAAAGACTGAGTCAGTATGGATAGCTATATACATTGGTGTGTAGATATATATATTCACTGATACTTACAACTTAGTTTTAACAGTGTGCCTTACGACTCAAGGTGAGTATTCAAAACTGCCTGTAAACATTCTTCTGAGCATATTCCTAACATTTTATAATCACACCATAAATTTAATATTACATACCACCACATTTTCACTGTTTTATGTGAGTCTGGCATTATAAATGCTGGCTAAAAGAATTTAAGGGTTAAGAGCATTAGAACAGACTTTATCAATAAACCTGTGATCACCAGAAATTATAAAGCAGAGGTTTAGAGTACAGAGTTATAATAGCTAACACTTACATATGTGCTTCCACTGTGATAATGCTCTGAGATTTTGCACACTGTATGTTAACTCTGAATCCTCCTAACCACCCTTTGAGGTAGATACATTTATTATCCCACATACAAATTAGGAGACTAAGGCACAGAGGTTAGTTTACATAGCTAAGGGGCAAAGCCAAGATTCAAACACAGGCAATTTGGCTTCAGAGTCTACGCCTGTGTCTACTATGCTATGATGGCCTCTCAAAAAGAGCATAAAAATGGGCAAGAGTAATTGTAGTGGCTACTTGATTTTTACTCCAAGAATCAAATTATAAAGAAAACGAAGAAAAGGTTTCACAATGCCAAGATATATCACAGAAGAAACCAAGCAGCAAGCCACATTTACTTTAGAGAGGAGTCCCAGGATTTAAATGATTGTTTAACTAATGAAAACTGGTTTTGAAGCTGAAGCTGAAGATTACATACTTTAAAAGTAGTCAGCTATAGTTTATGGCCTATTAGCTGGGTCATCTTGGCATGTTAGCATTACCTAACCAGTACGCCTGCTACCCTAGTGTAATATAGGGACAATAGCACCAACCTTAGAGATTCATGAGAAGTATGTGATCATGAGACGTACATGAATATATCAAAGACCTACAAGACTTGCTTGATGAATATTAGCTTTGAATTCTAAAATTCCTTTGCATCTCCAGGCAGTACTTAACATATTATGTTTAAGTACCCAGTGACAAATAATACTCAAAAAACTTCTAAAGTATCCACCCACACCACACTAACAATTGTACAATTGTACTTTTAATATTCACATGCATGAACCATGATAAACTTTCTTAAAAGAAAAATAACATTTAAAGGAATTGTATATAAACCTTTAGTTAATCTTTTCAGCTGGCAATCAGGAAATAACTGTAAAATAATCAGAAAACAAAGCTAAGCCATGGTAAACAGAACATCAAATGCCAAACAACATTCTGCAGGAAAATTGCTGAACTAAGAGAGAAATAAGGGCAGCCTAAATTTTAGATATATGTGGAAAAACCCTGAGATTACTAACTGTGTATCACAATCTTTTTATTATTTTGATTATTTGTAGAGACAAGGTCTCATTATGTTGCCCAGGCTAGTCTATAACTCCTGGGCTCAAGTAATCCTTTACAGGTGTGAGACACCACATCTAGGCCAGGATTTATTTACAGATACTGAAAATGATGGTATTAATACAACCTGTATAGTAGATTTACATATTAAATGTAATCTATTATTACCTTTGAATATTTGCTTTATATTGAAAGAACAAATTCTGACATCTTCAGGAAACTACTTTGAATAAGCTAAATGCTGGCTTAAAATAAAGCCCTTAATGGCTTCACTTAAATACTTTACTGCTTAAGGTCAGCTTTTTAACAACAAAGGTAATAATAATGTAAGTACTTTAGATCCCAAAGGTCCATTACATTCCTATTAATAAGGACAAAACAAAAGTACAAGTTTACCGAAAATAGTATTTTGCTATTGGCCTTCCAGTTTCACACTTAAAAAAAAAAACAACAGAAAAAGGTCAACAAGATCAAATAACTAGATGGCAAAACACTGACTTTAAAAGTTATGTCTTTAAACTTGTGAGAATCACAATTCAAAGTAAGCTTGACCATTGGGGCAACCTGTAAACTTGTGACCCTTTCTCACTACTGACACTATGTGACTGATTTTTCATAAAGAAACACAAAAAAATGCCATTTTAAAAGAGTATTTTTCCTCGAAACATTTGCGAGTTCTGGTTAACAAATATACTCTGGAGCTCTAAACATGTAAACAATTTATTCTAAATCATGAAAGAGCAAAATCATGTGATAGTAATGTAATAGAGTAATAAAGTATAGTCTCCCTAAAAAGAGGTTAAGGATTAAGAAGATATTTGAAGTGCTGTATTCTTGAAGTTAGTTCAATTATACCCAAGCTTATGTTGGTCCTTAAAGCTTAAAGCAATGCGCTCACATAGAACTTAATTGGTAATACTGAAAGCTAGATTCACCTTCATGTTAGACACCAAGATTAAAAATCCCAGAATCAGAAAGAGATGAAAGCATAATTTTTCCTGATTGAGGTTTTATACTATGGTGGGGGAGGGCACGGGGGTACACAAAAACTAATACGTATAATATTCCATTTCAGTCTTCATAGGTCAACTAGTGAAGTCTCATAATTCAGGCATACACTTTGGCCAAGTTTAGCTTTACCACATCTAAAAAATTCATGTATAAATAAGTATCAGTTCAAAATATAGATACTTTTTAAGAAGAGCTTGCAGGAAATATAAAAATAATTAAATTTGGTGGAAAGGAAATGTTAAAACTGCCTGAAATTGACATACATTATATCATTAAGAACAGCTGCTCCCCAGGTGTCTTGTTTGACTATTTAGACCAGAGTACTCACCATGGAACTCCTAATTCATGTTACTAACAGGTGCCCTTAAAGTGCTCCATTTTCCCTGCTTGGTACTCCAAAGGCCCTCCTGGTCCCACTGTCCTGTCCTTTCAAAGCAGCATAGTGGCCAACCATTCCGGACTTACAGAGAGATTTTTGGAGATTTTTCTTCTAGAGGATTAAAAAATAAACTTTAAGAATTACAGGTTCTGATATATACCCTTCAGAATGGTCTAGATTGCTTCAAAATATGAAATCAAGCTGAAATTAAAATTTTTTACATTTAATCGTAAACCTTAAACTTCAATATCATTACGATTCCAATGTTTTAATGAAAAAGTAGAAAGTAAGGTATAAAATTCAGTATCACCTATTTGTCTCAAATACAAGTACAGCATTAAACAGGAATGGTAATATAGTAACAAGAACTTGTAGATCTGCCCAAATTGAATCGAGTCTATTTCTGGGAACGTGAGGTGTCTGGAAAGTTGAATGTCTGATCTCTTAGTAAACGTTACATTATCAGCTTAACATTTTTCAAACACTGAGGGAGGCATTTCTCCACACAGACTTCTTAAGTACGCATATGGTGAGCTGTGAACAGTCTGCCTTTCACATTTGGTCTCTAAGCACTAAATATGTCTGTGCGACCCAATGGCCCACTCTTCGGAGGCATCGGTAATGCATTTGGCAAATGTCTTGAAGTGTGAATTGTAAATTAATACAGGCATAATCTTGACATGAAAAGAGAGTCTCAAATACTTATTTTTTTTCAATGTTAACATTAGGAGAAAAAATAAACTACAGTTATCATCAGCTCTATTTCCTGAAAATTCAGTTGAGGTAACCTCTGCAAGTCACAGCTCCACATTTACATACAGTTCTGACCCTCTTTCTGGCAGGGCTGTGGTCAACAGAATCTGAAGAAATATCTCCAGAACCTGAAATATGTAAGGGGAAAAAAAAACACAGGAGAAAAAGAGTTAAGACAATTTAGAATGAATTTCAAATTATTAGTTTTAAAGCAGCTGGTCAGGGTGCATTAGACTAAGTTAGCTCCCAAAGAAATTTAAGTCCCCTCTGTATTTATAAATAAGTGTGAATATTCAGAGACAAATCATTATGAATTGTCTTGAAAGAATACTGTGTGCTAATAATAGATAAAGTTTCTGTTATCAGCCTATATTTAGGAGAATGGATTTCAGAAATGATGGAACTTACTGGGAAAATCCAATATAGAATCATTCATTTCATATATTGTATAAAGCACATAAAGTGAGGTCAAGCAGTAACTATATAAAAGGAATCATTCTTAGAAAAACAAAGGAAACATTTATATTGTCACAATAAAGCAAATGGAAATATTCTTTTTAAAAGCCAGATTCAAGTAAGAATGTAGTAAGTTCTGGTATGTGATTTACATATTTTCAATCTTTAGAATATACATCTCTTAGTAAAAATGAAGAAATGTGGGCTTACAATTTTTTTAACACAACTAGTATTGAGAAAAGATGTTATAATAAAGAAATCAGCTTCCAAAATGGAAATTCTGAAAAACGGATGCTTTGTGATGCAGAAGAAAGACTACTCCTTAGCCAAGGTCAGAGAGACCCAGTGCTAGTATTAGCTGTTAGACAAGCTTTGGACCTTGGGTAAATGACAAACTTAGTGCCTCAATTTTTTTCATCTTTAACATTAATTTGGCTCAGGTGATTTAAAATCTTTTCCTACTCTGATATGGTTCTTCATATTGAAACTGACACCAATAAAACTGTACTTGGAAACCATACCTTTCATTTGATAATCAAAAGTCAGCTCTTCTCCAGCATGTATAGTTCTCGTGGAAAACAATGCTATTCGGGGAAGACGAGTATCGAGGTTATCAATGAAAACATTGAACACCTGAAGATTTGGGTCACACTAAAAAGGAACATTAGAACCCATTTAAGTAAAAATGATGTGACCGAGCTCTTCTACATGCCATGTAAATTTTTACTTTTCCAGAGATTTAGTTTAAATTCCACTGGAAATTAAGTTGCTTATTGTTTAAAGGTCTCTGAGTCATGCACATTAAAAAAATACTATTTTCACTTATAAAAACTTTAGCACATACATAAATACAAAAAAGCACAGAAAATAAATCCACATGTATTCTCTATGCAGCTTCAAAAATTATTAACATGTTTGTTAATAATTCTTATTCATCTAGTCCTAACTTTTTTTCCCCTGGGGAATTTCAATGCAAATCCCAGTGTAACTGTATAAGTTAAGACATACACTTTAAAGTACTAGGATAACTATATTTTTTTAAAAAATCAAATAGCACTGCAGAACTCAAATTTCACACTGCGTGGAGTTTCACTGCTTAAACTTTTGTTTGGAATTGTTCAATACTTTGAGAACTCTATACTAACTTATAAAATATGCAAGAAGAGAGATGAATCATACTAACAAATCAAGTGTTTACTTGTCTTTGGATAGAATGTATCTATTTTATAGTATCTCAAATTTATCATTTAGAAAAAATTCCTTGAGGTAAAAGTTTAAATAAATCAGAAAACTAACAAGGGATTCAGAAGGTCTCTGCCATTTCACTGCTAATCATACACTGCTTTTTTTTGGTCTGAAATTCATCCGAAGTTTAACATAATCTACATTTCCTTATGTGGTCAGCTATAAAACTTCCTCTCTGAGATACATTTATTTTATTGTCTATAAAACGGAGATAATGTCAACCTCACAGCATAATGTTATGTTATCCATCTGGGACTTAGTAGGTACCCCAAAATTATTTACTTTCCTTATTTTTGGAGATACATATTATAGAATCCAAGATTTTGGAGATAATTTTCAGCTACATTCTAAGTTCTTTCAAACAAGGGGCCAGGCATGATGGCTCATGCCTGAAATCCCGGGGCTTTGGGAGGCAGAATCAGGAGGATGGTGTGAGGCCAGGAGTTCAAGACCAGCCTGGGCAACATAGCGAAAACTTGTCTCTACCAAAAAATTAAAATAAAAGAATTAGCCAGTTCTGGTGGTACACAGTTGTAGTTCTAACTACTTGGGAGGCTGAGGCAGGAGTATCACTTGAGGCCATAAGTTTGAGGCTGTAGTGAGCTATGACTGAGCCACTGCCCTCCAGCCTGAATGAGAGAATGAGACCCTGTCTCAAAAAAAAAAAATAAAAATTAAGAATGCTAATTTAAGCCGGGTTCGGTGGCTCAGCCTGTAATCCCGCGCCTTTGGGAGTCTGAGGTGAGTGGATTGCCTGAGCCCGCGGGTTCGAGACCCGCCTGGGCAGCGAGACCTCATCTCTACAATAAATAAAAAAATCAGCCGGGCGTGGTAGCGCATGCCTGTAATTCCGGCTACTCGGAAGGCTGAGGAGGAAGGATCGCCGGAGCCTGCACTCCAGTCTGGGCGACAGAGTGAGACTTCAACTCAAGAAAAAAAAAAAAAAAAAAAAGAATGCTAATTTATAATCTAGAAAAAAACCCTAAATACTTAAGTACTCACAAATTCTCAGATTTTATAAACAATGTTAACATGTCTACATTTTAAGAAAACACATTTATCTTTAGTTGTACTTTCTAACATTTAGTAGTCTTAACTTCTACAAAACACCTATTTAATTGTGTATGATTTGTAAACATTTTACCTCTTAACTCGTCTGTTCATTATGATATGAATACCTCTGATATGAAGATACCTATCTTATAAAGTTACTGGAAAGTTTAAATGAAATAACATATGTAAAGACTCTGATAAAATGTATGGTATTTGGTAGATACTTCAATGCTTATTTTCCTAATACCACAATAATAACATGACTTAACAGAAGAGGCCCTCATATTAAAATATGTATTTTGGAAATGTTAAAAGCATGTGCAGTTTAAAGATAATTATTATTCAACTATGGAAAATTATTAAAAATAGTACTAAGTTTAATTATTAGTCTTGTCTATAGTTTAAGTATTTTTTCTTACACTGTGATTCACAAAATGAGATACATTTCCATATCGAGTTGCATCTACTGTGAATTCATCAGATTCATAATCCAGATCAAAAAGATATGTGATCCCTTTGTTGTCATATAACTGTCCCCGTCTTTCAGCTTCTTCACTTGTGATTACCTAAACAGAAAAAACTATAGTATATTATGTAGCTACTGGTGAACTGAAGAAACATTTATCCATAAATCAATTAATGTATCAATGTCTACAAATGTTGAAAAAGTAAGAAATTCAAGTGTCATCAAAACAACCATTCACACAAACCAAGAGCCAGATTGAAAGAGGTAGAAAAATGATGATGAAAAAGATGTATGACTTTCTAAATAGGATTTGAGACAATTAACAAGTCAAAACACTGCTCTACTTTTACTATAATTAGGATGTTCAAAAAGCTGTATAAATATAGCTCTCAAAAAGACATAATTGAATGTTAAGGACTAAATTTGTAAGTATATTCTCTATGCTCAAAAGGCATATTTTATCTATAACTAATCTATATGTAGTTGCAAATGGAAATTTGTTAAAAATACAGGGAAGAAGTTATATTAAATTTGCAGTCAACTGTATGGAAAGTTTTGTTTTGTAGAATAGATTGTTTTCATGAAATTCATGAAGTTCAAAACCACCATCTGCAGTTCTGCTCTTAAGAATACATCTTTATCACATGCTCAGCTCCAGAAACCAAAAATGTCTAAAGTAGTTCATGTTACCAACCAAATTTGGCTGCTGCATTCAGTAGGAATGAAATTTTTAAAGATCTTATTAACAAAAAGAATAATTTGTACAAATCTTGTATCTCCCATTTGTCTAAAAGTATAAGAATCAAAACGGGATCAGACTTAATTTCAGAACTCTAAACAAATACAGATAATTATAGGTGATTCAATTCCAAGTAACCTACAAAAAAACTAGTTCAATTTGACAACCCCAGATATGCAGCCACACTCATATCATTCTAGTCACAGCTAAATCCATGCTTCAGTGTGAGGCAGTGTGGTTCAGTGCTGAAAAGTAGTGATTTTGGAATTTTGAATCCTCAAAGTCCTGGCTCTTCTTTACTATTATGTGACCTGTGTGACTTTGGGCAAGATGCTCAATTTCTTTGTGCCTTAGTTTCCTCCTTCATAATAATGAAGATAACAGTACTACCTCATAGAGTTGTGAAGAGATTGAGTTAATACATAAAATGCTAAGAATAGTATGTGGCACATGGTAAATATCATCTTTATACTTATATATGTATGATTTGTAAAAATACTTTGCATTTGTATGATACTTCAGAGAACATTCTTTACATTTCAAAGTATCTGAGTTACAGATATTAGGAGTCATTTTCACGAGGCGCAGTGGCTCATGCCTATAATTTCAGCACTTTGGGAGGTGCAGCGAGAGGACTGCCTGAGCCCAGATGTTCGAGATTAGTCTGGGCAACTTAGCAAGACCTCATCTCTACAATAAATCAAAAAACTAGTTGGGTATGGTGGCATACCTAGTTACTTGGAAGGATCCGTGAGTCCAGCAGGTGGAGGCTGCAGTGGCCATTAGTCTTATTTTCTTACGGATACAATAAATGGTTTTGTGTATGCTTTATAATACTTGCTCATAAAGCATTGGTCTACTCTATCTTTTATGTTAATACAAAATAGTGGTTTGTCAACTACACTTAATTATATTTGGTCAAACTTATGAAGTAAATTACAACTTTAAAGTCTCAAAGTCAGCACATGTTTAGATCTGATTTCAAAGTCAACACATGTGAAGATCTTCTTAGGACTTTTGGGTAAAAATAGTTGTCATATTTCAAAATTTACAAATACTAGGCTCAATGACTATGAATGATTGCTGAAAGATGACTGTCAATTTAATCTGCCATAATTTTTTCTTCATAGAAAAGTTCTTTTATTTTTAACAATGCCAGTGAACCCCACTCCTAAACCTGAAAATAAATTTCTACTTATCTTCAAAGGAAAACATAAAAATGTAACAAATATTTATGTTATTGAGGTAAAAAGGTAACTTTTCAAAAGTGTAGGCCTAACATGCATATTATTTGCTAGAAGGCAAGTTAAACATACCTCTCCGACATATTCCATGACAAAACTCATTCTTTTAATCTTCACAAGGGTTTTTACACCCCAGCCACGGCCATTACTAGTTCGAAAGATGCAAAGTGAATACTGTGTGCCTTTTTGTACAATCCTGTTGGGACAATCAGGTCCACATTGACACCTTGAGTTGCATTCATAGATGGGGGTACCAGGTGGAATTTTAATTTGTTGGCTTTTATTATAAGCCAAAAGAACTCCAGCTTCAGCAGGACAACATTTTTCAAAGAAGCAATCTGTACACGAACAACCAAAGGAAGCTTCATTTACTAAGCTGATTCCAGAAGCTGGTTTGTATTCATTAATGTAGTAGAAGTTTGAAGGTGGGCCCTCCAAATCAACAGTGTTTTCAACAAATATCATTCCTTTATGATTCTTTCTTCTGTTGAGTTCATCTTGCCATCTCTGCAGAGCTATCCTTTGTTTAGCCTTCTTTACAATGTACTGAGCAATGGCAGGTTTCAAAGTTTTGTTATTGTTTTTTGGGGTTATTGCTTTGCCTTTCCGTACCTGAGATAAATAATTATGCTTGTCCTTTGAGAACTGCTGAAGCAGTAATGGGCACTTGAGATTTTGCAAAGGTTCCCAAGTATTTGTAGAATCTGGCCATCCTTTCCATTTTACAAGATAATATTCCATATCCTTAAAATACAAAAGAAAATGCAAATCAGATTATAATAGTCCCAGTTATTGAAAGTAATATCTTAAAGACCAAAGTGTCCATTTTCATTTTTCTTAATAACTGTTCAGAATACATAGAGTCAAAAGGTCCTAACAGATGAAGTACAAATCACATAAAAACAACTTTTTTCTTTAAATTACATAAAATATAGAATTTAGACACAGCATAACAGTTGGACAGGCTAAAGAGTCTTACCTGGAGAAAAATGAAGTTACTAAAACCTATGAGTATTTACTGAATGGTGATTAGGTTAAACAAAGAAAGATTTACCTTTCCATGGAGATAGATGGCCCTAAAGCTAATGATTTATGACCTGTGTGGCTTACTTGGCCAGCATAGATGCAGGCATTCTCTAAGGTCTCTATCTTAATACCAGACACTGGACACAAGGGAACTTATATTTCTCAATGTCATGGGCATACATTTCCTAGGTGTTCCACAGATGAACTGTCCAACACAGTCATTACTAGCCACATGCAGCTACTGAGAACCTGAAATGTGGCTAGTCTGAATTGAGATGTGCTCTAAGTATGCACGCTGAATTTCAAAGACTGTAAAATATCTCTAACTTTTAAGAAATACTGACTACATGTTGAAATCATATTTTGGATATATTGAAAGAAATTTCATCTGTTTCTTTGTACGCTAATGTGGTTACCAGAAAATTTAAAATGACATCTGCAGCTCACATTATATTTCTATTGGACAGTTCTATGCCAGAGAATGCAGATCTTATTTAGATTCACCCATGATTGGATTAGGTAGAAGGCATTCAGTCCACCAAAGAGCAAATATTTCAATTAATCTCGCAGACTGCTGTTGGTCATCATGGTAAACAGAATTTTGTCTTTCCACCCCACTATGTTTTCTTCTCTTACAGTTAGGCAATGTATGTTCATTAAGTTTCTCTTTAACTAAGGCGTTTTAAGTGTATGTAATAAATTTTAAAGTGAAGTCTCTCAGTAATTTTTTTATTCTCTGGAATAACTAAAACATATCCACACGCCCTAGGGTAAAATAAGATCATAAAATGCCTTCTGAAATGTAAAAATGATTAAACTGCATTTGACAATTTTAAAGATATTGAAAAAAGTATTAACTGCGATACCTTTGTTTGTCACCAAAAATTTTAGTAAAGTATTTATTATGAAGCAAGAATACCCATGACAGTTGTTTTAATATTTGTAATTTATTAACGACAGAGAACCATATGAGATTTGCCATGGTGCTGAGGCACAAATTAGACTGAGAAACCCTGAGGCAGCGATGAAGGAGCAAATCACCACCCAGGCATGAGCTGATTCTAACCCCACTATCTGCATCTTAATGTTTGTTTTATTATATTCTATTCAACAAGTAGTAATCCTTGAATTAAACGAACTTTACATCCTTTTGAAACTGGTCAAATACTTTTCTTCTGGTAAACATATGGTTAAATTATGTTTTGAGGATATGCACAAAAACTGTACGTTGGTGGAAATATATATTGTGGTTCCAGGAGAAAAAAACAAAAAACACAGACATACATTTAAGTATTTGTCAAACTGAGCCTCACTAAGGTCTAAAGAGTTCTCCCTCCTGTCAGGTAACTACCATAATTTGGGACTGTTGTTAACAGATATTTGCTCACACTGAAACAGATATGAAATGCAAGTGGCAGGTAGTATCTAATATATCTATTCCCCCCTTAATTCTAAATGTTTTTAATTTTTCCATGTTATGACAAAGCACTGCGATCCTAGTCCTCTACTTTTCTCTACTAGTTTTTGCTACCATAGTTCTTGGTTATGTCAAATGTTGCTAGTAAACAATGAAAGAAATAGAGACACTGGCTTTAAGTTAGATGATTAAATTATCATTCAGCAAAACTAAAAACACCTGTCACTGAAGTTTACTTCCAAAATAATTTTATTGTTTAATCTTGGATGAGTCACTTGCATTTAAAGTGACTAAGTTTTGTACGTTAATCGCATTGGTGCCTACTTAACTACGGACAGTAAATATGCCTATAAACCATGAACGCTTTTGCAAAGTAGTATAGAAATATTAATATATTATTTCTACTTTGTAGACTGGTCTTTTACTTTATAAGCATGTTTTATTTTTGTAATCCCAAAAGAGATAGTTCTATTTTTAAAAATAATTTTACACAGAAAAATCACTTTGACTTAAGAAACAAATTAATTCAACCTAAAATTCCAAATAAAAGCTAAAAGTTCTTATGCATATATATTATATCAATATCTTATTCTGATATGTAATCAACTCTTGATTACCTACAGAAATGGAATCCAAGTGGTAAAAATGATACATAAATCATTCCTATGTAATTTGGAATGCATCATATGATTTTTTTTAAAAGACATTTTCCCCTCTTTGTTTGGCTTAGGTTAAATTCATTCAAATATTTTAATATCTACAATAAGTATATGAGAGTTCAGTCACTAGGAGGTGTGATGAAATGATGAAATATAAGATATTATTAGCCTTCAGGAGTAAAATCTTACTGAGAAAATAAGGCAATAATATGTGAAATAAGTAGCAACATAAGACAATCAATACCACCAGGATATAAAGAGGGAAATCAATATAGGCCAGACAATCAGAAAAGAGAACAGAGGAAGTAGAACAAACTATGTTGTGAAGGACTGATAGAACTTATTGAGTAGGGGACATGGCAGGCAGAATGACAAAACATGAGCAAAAGCCAAGGGCTAAGATTTGCATGAAGTATCCAGAAAACAACGAAGTGATGGATTTGCCTAGCTATAAGGTTCAGAATGTTGAAGTGAAATAAAAATTGAATGGTAAGGCAAGGCAAATTTATACAAGTTGAACACTTGGCTGAGGTACCTGAACTTCACTGCAGGCCAGTCAATAAATCTTATAATTCCTAGATACCACGGTGTTTTTGTGGGGAGTTTCATTAAGTACAAGCACATTTAACTCCATCTTGTTAGGACCATTTTACAAATCTTCTAACTGCCAAGTCAATGAACTACCTCTCTACAGGAGCAGCCACTACTTGACCATTCCTCTTTTCATTCTAGTTCCATTCTACTTTCTTTGCTGAGACTGCTTCCCATACCCATCACTTACACAATAGAGATACTCAGGACCCTGTCCTTGGCCCCTTTTTCACAGTAAACAAGTGTTTATCCCTTGAGAATCTGACAAACCTTTCCATAACAAAAGCCACATATATAAATTTTGAGTAATTTCAAGATACTTGGATTCCAGGTTAAGAATTCCTGCTCTAAATGCTTTCTCTGGGCAACCTCATTACTCCAGTGGTTTTAACTATTATATGCTAACGACTTTCAAAATTTTACCTGCAAATTCTTATATCCAAAAACCTACTGGTATCTTACAGCAATCTATCCACATGGAACTCATCACTGTCCCTCTTAAATGTATTCTTTTTGTATTTCTCATCACAGTGAATCTTACCCATCCACCTACTTAAACAAAATGCAAACCAGAAGTCAATCTCAGTTCCTTCTCCTCAATACAATTCATAACCAAGTTTCTGCAGAGATGAATTTCTTCCTGTTCATCTCAATTACAATGGCTTTAGTTACTTTGGGTTCGCAAGTCTTGCCTAGATTATTATTCTTCCAACTGGTTATCTGTCTCCCAGACGAACAACACTTCAATACTCTATCCTTCTTTACTACAGAGTTTTCTCATAAAAACAAAAAATTCACAGAACCACTTATTTTGTTTCCTTGCTTAAAAATTGTTAATAGTTCCTGCTCTGCCTATGGAATGAAGTTTAAACATCCTATTATAACAAAGAAAGCCACCCTTGAATTGATTCCTGACCTCTCTTGCTCAATCTCCCATTACGGTCCATTCACATGCCATCCACTAGCAATACTGGACTGCTGCTAGTACCTGAACATGCCAAGCTTTTTCATACTTGTGCTGCTTTATTCACAAAGTTTTTCCTAATTAATTAGGATGGACTCTCCCAATTGCCTAGTGAGCACTTAGTTATTACAGCCTCATCTTTTAAAACAATATAAGTATCACCTCTCTCTGAAGTCTTTCTTGCCTCTCTTTTTCAAGAAGAATTGATCACTGCCAAATCCCTGTGTTTCCATTTCTGATTAAACTATAAACTATTTGTGGGAAGGGATGGAATCTTATTCTTTACAGTCCCAGAACAAACACAACTGCTCACCATTATCTTAGGCTCTGACTAAATATTTCTAAGTGTATAACAAAAAATATGACTACCAAAATGTAGACAGCATTAAAATCACATTACTACTCATGAGTCAGAATGTTAATTTTTTTAAAAGATGGGAAAAAAAATCACAACAGTAACTGTATAAATTCTTAAAAGAAACACAACTGTTAAATTTGACATGAAGATAGCAATTCACGGGTTCTTAATATGTGCTTTGTCACCTGCTCTCTATAGCCAAGAAGTGGTAACAAACACCAAAATTTGAAATATAAATGGGAGGACAAAGAACAACAACAACAACTCTGTCTTTCCATTAGCTAACTTTTTTCCTGCTAATTTTGAAATAACCATCATACTGAATATTAATGTTAGAATAACCTGAATCTGATTATGAAAACATCAGTAGTCCCCCAGGAGCACAGGTGGAAAATTATTATGATCCAAGGAAAGTCACTGGGGTTTCATTCCAGTAAGGAACAGAACAGAAACTGTGATAGCTGGGTTAGAGAACAAGCAATGAAAAAAAATAGTCATGCAACTTTGGAGAAGTCCTTCTGTGGAGCTATTTTTCCGATTTCTAGAATTTAGGTTGCGATCTAATGATTTGTTATTCTGGTTCTTAAAAAACACTCTGGGTACAAGCAATCTTTTAGGGATATTAATTTACTGGGGTTTTAAATTAATTTTAAATAGAAATGGGATCTTGCTATGTGGCCCGGGCTGATTGTCTCAAAGTCCTGGGCTCAAGCAAACCTCCCAACTCAA